AGAGAGAGAGAGAGAGAGAGAGAGAGAGAGAGAGAGAGAGGAAGAGAAGAGAAGAGAAGAGAAGAGAAGAGAAGAGAAGAGAGAAGAAGAAAAGAAAAAAGAAAAGTGACTTGGAAAAATTAATTACCTTCTCCATAGTGTCCCCTTCTATAAAATGGGGATCCCAGTAACTCTCAGCTTTTGGAATTCTTTCAAGATCTAAAAAAGCTGATTTATGTGAAACTAATTTAGGGATTCAAAGATTCATAGAAAGCATAACTAGTGGTCACAGTAACCAAGATAATCCTAATGGCAGGTGCCAAGCGCTTGTGTACCCAGGCACTGGTCAGATTCCTTGGGCTCAAATCCCAGATGTAGGATTGCCAAGATTTGTCGTTTCTGAGTCTAAGCTTCTATGTGCTAAAGATTCTAAGATTCCAAGAGTTGTGTGTGTGTGTGTGTGGGGGGGGTAGTGTTGTGGTCCTTGGACACAGTCGGCAAGTGCTTTATCACTGGGCTACACCCCAGCCCCAGGAGTCTTTAATGATGTTCAAAGTTTTCGTTGTAGATGGACACAATTCCTTTATTTATTTATCTCTATGTGGTGCTGAAGATGGAGCCCAGGCCTCTAGGCCAGGGCTCTACCACTGAGCCACCACCCCAGCCCCACATTCAGAGGTTTTTAAGCCCCTACAAGTTCTTGATCCCAGATTTGAGGATTTGGATATCCTGTGAGGGCGCAGTCTTTGGGTTTAATTTTCTGCGAGAAATACAATGTCGCTCACCTCATACCCTTCAGGCCTGCTTCCTTCAGCGGGAGGGGCCCGGGTTGTGCTCGGGCGACAGTGGGGGAATGGGGTTCCCACAGAGCTGACTCCCTGGCCTCTTGCCGCACCCCACTCTAGGCACAATGACAACAAGAGCTTCCTGGTGTGGGTGAATGAGGAGGATCACCTCCGGGTCATCTCGATGGAGAAGGGGGGCAACATGAAGGAAGTTTTCCGTCGCTTCTGCGTGGGGCTGCAGAAGGTGGGTGTGTGCCCCTCGCACTGACCTCCCACTGCATCCGGAAGCCCCGCCCCCTCCAAGGCCACACCCTTAAACTAGGCTCCACCCCTATGTCCAAGGCCAGCCTCCAAGAACCCGCCCCGAAACCCGGCAGAGTCTCCTCCCAGTTCTCCAGCTCCGCCCCCTTGGTGCCCGCCTCCATCCTGGTCCGCGCCTCGGCCCTGTGAACCCTGGTGTAGCTGGGAGTGCCGGCGGACATTGATCCCCGGTCCTCTCCCTCCACCTCAGATTGAGGAAATCTTTAAGAAGGCTGGCCACCCCTTCATGTGGAACGAGCACCTGGGTTACGTGCTGACCTGCCCATCCAACCTGGGCACTGGGTTGCGTGGAGGCGTGCATGTGAAGCTGCCACACCTGAGCAAGCACGCCAAGTTCGAGGAGATTCTCACCCGCCTGCGTCTGCAGAAGCGGGGCACAGGTACAGCCCCGCATCCCCTACCCCGCGGTGTCTGGGGCAGGTCCTTTGAGGTAGAGGAAGGGGAGGTGGAGCATCCCCGCGAGCTCTGGGATCGGTTAGGGCTTCCTGCTGTGAGCCTGTTCCTCCTCTGAAATACGAGTTAGTATGGTCATGGCCATATAATATGCATTTTGCATACCCGGGAATCCGTTCCTCAATGGTAAATGGGTGGTCAGGATTCGCCCCCAGGCAGCAGGGATCTGCTGGGATCTTGCACACTTTGGCTTATTTTCATGTTGGATGTTTGAGGGGAGAGGTACCTAAAGCCGGACACTTGGACCCCAAGTAAACAGACATTAAGGAGGCTCTGTGTGCAGGTGATCGGTCACATGGTAGGCATTCAATACACGCGTCTGTTGCAAGTGACACAGGGGTAGCCTCCGGCCGCTCTGCATCTCGGCTCCTTCCTCACGTCTCTGGCCCCCTGCTCCCACAGGTGGCGTGGACACAGCTGCAGTGGGCTCTGTGTTTGACATATCCAACGCCGACCGGCTGGGCTCATCCGAGGTAGAGCAAGTGCAGCTGGTGGTGGACGGTGTGAAGCTCATGGTGGAAATGGAGAAGAAGCTGGAAAAGGGCCAGTCCATCGACGACATGATCCCTGCCCAGAAGTAGGCACCCAGCCCGCCCGCCGCCAAAGGCTGGAGCCCGGGCTCCCGGAGGACCCGGCGCACTGGAGGCCCAACCCTTCATCCCTTGCTCCGCCCCTCTCCCCAGAGTCCCGCCCACAATGGTTCCGTTACCTGGACGCTCTCTCCGCCCTACTCGGAGTTCCTATTCCACCCGAGTTCCAGCCATTGGGCTCCACCCTCTGGGCTCTGGCCAATGAAAAACCTCCCTCACCTCTGGGTGTCCAGGGCCCGGCCCACCACCAGGAGCTCCGGCCGACGCGGCGCCCGCGGCACTGCTGGAGCTCCTGCTTCTCCACGCAAAGCAAGAAATAAAAACAGTGGTGGCCTTAGCTTTGTGTGGCACAGTATTGAGGGACGCGGAGGGAGCAGTTTTGTAATTGGCCACTGGGTTCTTGAAATGGTCTGCCCTCTCTAGGCACGTGCTAGGCTTGCTTTATCCCATTTCTAAAATGAGGCGGAATTAGGGTACAAAACCTAGACAAAAACTTGCAATCCTCTATGAGGAGTCGGAGACTCAGAAGAGTGGCCCACCGCCACTTAGCCAAACACCAGGGACTTCCCCGTCTCGGCTGTGAATTAATCATGCTCAGAGTTCAGAGAGGGAGAGATGCAGACAAAAAAAAAAAAAAAAAAGTCTGAATTTGGCCCATGGGCCTCCTGCTTGAGACACTCCCCACCCCATACATACATCCACCTCTGTGTGCTCCTCACCGGCCTCCTCCTGTCCAGTTTGACTTCATCGCTCTGTAGCTACCAGTCTTTTGAACTTCTCTTTCTTTGCTCAAGAACCTTCCATGGCGCCCTTATCTCCTAGCACTCCTTTTACTTGCGATCCTTTAAGGTCACACTGAAATGCATCTGATCTGCTGAAGGCTCATCGTTCAGTTCTCCCCTCATTATTACTTGATTTTCACTGTGTGTACCCTGCAATTCCCAGCTCCATGTATTGCTCCTCCTGATTGGGACTTGGGAGGGTGCCTTCCTATGTGGTCTTTAGGGATGGGTCTTTTATAGAGCTTGGTCCCAGGAAAGAGCTAAACGGAATATGGCAAAGTAACTGGGGGAGGAAGAGGAGTTAACAGAAACCAGTTAGTATCTGGACCTGCTCTGTGGGGCATGCCACGAACTGCCTGTCAGCCAAACAGGCCAAGGCCTCCACAGAACACTGGGGGTGGACCCCCAAAGAGACAGAAGTTTCAGAAGGAAATGAAGCCGAGCCCTTAGGAACCTGGCAGAGGCACTTTTTCAAACTTTAAGAGCGGGAGGTTGGGGCTGGGGTGGTGGCTCAGTGGCAGAGCCCTTGCCTAGCATGTGTGAGGCACTGGGTTCGATTCTCAGCACTGCATACATAAATAAAATAAAGGTCCATTTACAACCAAAAAAAAAAAATTTAAAAAGAGAGGTTAAGGGCCCTTAGAGATCAATCTGCCTTCTGCTTTACAAAGGGGAAACTGAGGCCCAGGGCTGTCCCCGTGAGTTCTCAGGATGGCTGAAATAGGAAAGTTAGAAGACACCCAAAGACCAGGCATGAAGAACCTGTCAGATGCAGGGATGACCTTCAGAGTATTATCCCCAACTGAAGATCCCATCACTAGTCACAGCTCCATCCCCAGAAGCCAAAGAGACCACTATGCTCCATCCTGACAATCTGAGCCTGCCACATCGAAGTCCAGGCATCTGTAGTTTACCAAGTCCTGCCCATTTTGCCTCAAAAGCCTCTTAAATCCATTCTTCCTCTCCCCATGTTCTGTCCCACTCTGCTCTCCTCCCTGCCCGTCATCTCTCCCCCTCCCCCAAATCCCAACACAAACCTCTCTACTCTCCCTGGCTCATAACCTCGCTGTGGCACCCAGTGCCCCCCCCCCCGGGCCCCTCTCCATGATTTTCAAGGCCCTCCAGACATCTCTACTCTCATCATCGTTCACAGTGACCATACACACCCTGATTCACATGCCATCTCATGTGGGTAGCCAGCTCCTCCTCCTCCAAGAAGCCCTCCTAGGTTGAGGCAGGCACCTACTGGACTCAACTCTGCCCCTCTGGATGGTCAGTCTGAAGACATACCTATCTCTACCAATGGAACGTGAGCTCCACAAGGCTAGGGATGGAGACAACCTTGCACAGAGGAGGCCTTCAGGGATCAATTAAACTTCTCTGTGCAAAACTCTCCCCAGTGCCTCAGAAGAAAGCCTAGTGTGCCCACTGGGCCCCAGAGGCCCGGGCTGAAGGAGTGTAGCTCCCACCTCTCTTCTGCTCAGGAAGCCTCTCCTTGAGGAACCCTAAGTTCAGCTCTAGCTAGGGGGCCACAGCCACTCTAAAGCCAGTGATTGGCTCAAGGATAACCACATGACTTATCTTGGCCAATCAGGTCTCTCAGGACTTTTATTTAAAGTTGGCATTGAGGAGGGACAGATGCTTGGGGGCTGCTGGGGTCACCTCTTGCCATCAGGAAAGGAGTTTCTTTTGGACTCCATTAGAATTAAATTTACACTGATGAAAGCTGAGATGACCTGACACCTGGACCCAACTATACCTGAAGTTAGAGCCCCTGGACTATTGATTAGCAAATAAATACCTTTATGCTTAATCGGTGGAGACGGACTATTCCTCCTATGCAGCATTTCTCCATTCCCCACGCATGCCCAGCAGCAGCCGCGCTGAACTTACCTGCAGCTCTCCGGAGTCAGACCAGGTACTCCCACCTCCACCTGGGCTTCTGCTCAGGGCATCACCAAGTCCTGACCAACTCCTATTCATCCTTCAAAGCCCAACTCCAGTATGAGCTCCTCTAGAGGTTCTTTTCCAACCCTCCTCACTCTCTCTCCAGGCTCCCCAAGACAATAGTTTCCCTGGTGTTTGTACCCACAGACAGGGCACCCCATGTCTCCCGGTCCAGCACTGGCCGGGCACGGAGTAGGCACTGGTCAATGACTGTTTATTGAATAAATTTACTACTGGAGTAGGAAGAGGCTGAGTCCAGTGTAATATAGTTGGCGGGAGTTGATAAATGGGGGTCCCCAAGAGAGGACCTGGATGGGGCCAAGTTCTGTCCTGCCCTTTCCCACTACTCCTTCACCCTCACACCCGCCACCCCGCTCTGCAGATGACCAAACAGGCTCAGAGAGAAGCCACTGGCCCCGGGTCACACACCTCCTCTCCACTCACCTGCAGGGGAGGGCAGGGAAGGAAAAGCCCTGGGTCAGTGTGGGGGACTCTCCTAAGTTTATTGGGCAACAGGCTGCAGGTGAGGGGCTGGTGGGAGGGTGGGGGGTAATAACTTAAAAACCGGAGGTGTCAGCGGCAGCTTGAGAGACCTCTGCAGAGGAAGGGGGTGGGGTATTTACAAGGATTTGTACAAAGTGCCCCGCGCCAGCCTGGGGCAGGAATTGGGGTTCGAGCATGAGGGGTGGGGGAGGGGAAGGACTCTGCCTCTCTGACCCCATTCCCAGCCCCCCACGAGTTCTCCAGTCTTGGGCTCAGCAGCTCCCCTGCCCTGCCCGAGGCCTAGTTCTTGAGCTGCTGGAGGAATGTTCTCCTCGGCGTCCCTTCCCGCCGCCCTGCCCCCAAAGTCTCCTCAGGTGCCCCCACGGCAGGGTGAGGGGGAGCAGGACTGGCTGGAGCCTCCAGGAGGGTGCCCGCTCCCCCGGCTCAGTCCCCTCATCCTTCTCCTGTGCCAAGCAGCCCCGGAGAACAGCAGAGGGGATAACTTGTGTCCCCAACCAAATCCATGGAACCCGAGGTGATGACAAAAGGAGAATCCTCTCCCTGTCCCCTTTTCCTCTTGTAGAAGCGAAGGGAACGAGAGAGGAAGAGGAAAGGACCCGGGCTGTGGTGGCTCAGAGCTCGAGGTCGTTGGAGATGCGGGTGACGAGGGTGCGGAAGGCCAGGGCGGTGCCCGCCACACGGCGGAAGAGAACGCCCCGCAGGCCCGGCCGGGGCAGCTGGCAGACCTCCACTTCAAAGTGGGACAGGGGCTCGGGCCCGCCCGCACCCCCGTGCAGACAGGCCAGCAGGAACGGCTGTGGCTGGCGGCAGCGGCAGCGGGCGGCTGCTGTGGCCTGGCGCAGAGCTGCCATCAGGGCCTCGGGAGGGCGCGAGCTGGTCAGCTTCACACTCCAGGGGAATCGGAGCAGCCGGGGGGCGGTTTCCGTTTGATCCCAAGGTAGATGGCAACTGGGGTGGGAAGAGAGTAGGGGTCACAGACGGGAGACCAAGGTAAGGTGGGCAGAGAACTGAAGGGACAACTCTCTCCACTTTGGGACACACGTCTAGCTGTGCCCTCAAAACCATCCTTGCACCTGCAGTGACAATTTCAGCTGGATATCTCAGCCTGGCTGGAGATCACATGTCTCAGACTCCTTTGCAGCCGGGCAGGACCGGGTCTAAATTCTGGGACATGGGCAGAAGTGAGGCCTGCCACTCCACCTGGTGTCCTTCATAAGAGTCCCCATGCCCGGGGACTGGCAGCAGCACCAGCCAGCCTCGCCTGTACAGATGACTAAGGAATGGGGGTGAAGAACCCAGACACCTGAATGACCATATGGGACAGAGTGACCCTGCCACACGGCTTGGATGAGAAACTTATTACTGCATTTTGGGGTCTCGTTGGAGCACGCGAGCTTGGTTCCTACCTAATACTCTTGTAGTAATGACAATCCCTTCTCCCGGGGGCCCAGCGCTCTTCACTCTAGACCAGGGACTCACTTAGAAGTACCTTCGGCACAAAGGGGTCTTTGGAAATTTCTCGGGACTTTCTACCTGGGATGAGACCACCACTAGTATTTATTATGCTGGGGAAAGGGGCAGGTCAGGGATGAGAAATGTCCTATGACGTGCAGGCCGACCCTCTACAAAACGCAAAGTGCCCGAGCATTCTTCTCTAGGGGGCGGACCACCAAGAACGCATGGCCAATCAGAACTTCTACTGCTCTGCCCACTATGATTGGATCAATGACGAGCATACAGCCAGGTCTGACCAATCAGAGTAGCCCACCCTTTCAGCCCCAGCCAATGAGCGTCAGTCTGGACTTTATTGGAAACAGGGGAAGGCTCTCTTTGCACTGGGGTCTCTAAATTGGTAGGGGTGAAACTAAAGCAGGGCTGCCAAATACTGTGCTGCCTGCTTTTGTAAATAAAGTTTTATTGGGACACAGCCACACCCATTTTTTATGTAGGGAATACGGTTTTCTCAGTGGAATGGCAGAGCCCATGCCAGAGACTGGCTCTTAAAGTCTAAGATATTTGCCCCCTGGGCCCACACAGGTACTGTCTGCCACTGCGTGGCTCAGAGCAGTGGGGCAGCCACTCTGCCACCATGGATGAGAGGCGAAAGGAGGCGGGGTGGTGACAGGAGGGCAGCTGGGCTGCAGCTAGGACAAATGGTGCTCAGGGCTGTGGTGCAAAGGGCAGGAATCCTGGGCAACTGGCAGAGGAGGTGGGTCATGGGGCATTTCAGAAGGCTGGACTTGGAAAATGGCCTCAGGTCCCATCTGAGGGCCAGGGGGGAGGGAGGGGCTGTGAGGTGGTCAGGGGCAGTCACATGCACTCACCTTGTGACCTCAGGTCCCCCGATTCTCTCAGGTTCGTCTGCGACCCTGGGGAGGAGGGGGACAGGGTGTCTAACCTGGACATAGGGAGCCCTCCTCCCCCACCCACTGCCTCCCGGGCCCTGCCTTGGCCCAGTCCCTCCCTGCTGGCTAGAACTGACCCCCTACATCTCCAGAAGGGGGTTGGTCCTGAGAGGGTTAGTGCAAGTGGTAGAAAAGACACCGAAGAATTTGGAAGACAGAGAAAGAGGGGGTGGGTAGACACCTATATGTAGAAGGGGCAACAGAGAGACGCACACACTCACACACAGTCGGCTTTGTTGAAATGGCAGACACCTCCTTAGTGTGCCTGTCCCTCCCTTCCCCACACCCTGGACCACTGCCCTGCTCTATTTTTCTTCTTAGTACTTGTACTGTCAAGACCCGATACTCCTCCCCCCACCCTCTCTCTCTACATATATGTGACTTATTTAGATATTTTCTGGTCCCCTACTAGAATGTGGGCTCTTCTAGTGCAGGAAATTTTCACATTTTGTTCACTCCTGGGTCCAGAATGGCACCAGGAACACAGTAAGTAGGTGCCCCACAAGTAACAGCAGTAATGAATAAAAGTAGTGAACAAATTATTTCTAAATAATGCATTCATAAAGCACTTTCCAAGAAAACCTCCTCAGTCCTCACAACCACCCTCAAAGGAATGACCTGTCATTGTGACTGCCACTGTACAGAAGAGGAAAACCAGGTCCAGAGAGGTTGAGTGACTTTCTCAAGGTTACTCGGTAGAGTTGATATCTGGACCCCGAGAGTCTGGCTCCAGGGGCCATGCTTCTGGCCACCGCTCTTTATTAAAGGAGTAAATGAACACGCAGACCCACATCCAGGCCCTGTTCCCCACTCACATGCACGGCCCCTCCCTGCGGCCCGCACACACACCAGATGCAGACCGGGAGAGCGTGGGCGGGACTTACTGATCTTGGATCCCTGGGGCAGAGAGGCGCCCGAAACGCAGCGGTTAGAATTCTGCCGTTTAGAGGGATCGAGGGTGACCCTGCAGTGTGAGGAGGAGGAGGTGACAGGGGTAGGGGACAGGGGAAGGGAGCAGGAGGAGGAAGAAAAGGAAAAGGAGAAGGAGGAGAGGTCAGGGCGCAGGAGACAGAACAGAGTAGTAGACAGGCCAGCCCGTTCCACCCCCACCTGGTGCCCGGCGGTGCTCACCGACGGGTCAGCTTGGAGGTCAGCTTGGTGAAGAGGTTGGTGGTGGGGCGCGGCCGCCCGGCGGGCAGGGGTGCAGCCTCGTGTGCCAGCGTGGGCGAGGCTGGGGGCCCGTTCTGCACGCCCCCGCTGCCCCCGCCCCCTGCCCGCCGGTCCCGGACCTGACCACCGTGGAAGGTGCTGCGGATGGTGGAGCCGCGTGCTAGGCGGCTCCGCTCCCCAGATGGGGGAGCCAGGCTGTGACTGGAGGGGGAGGCGGGGGGTACCCGTGGGGTGCCCGAGCTGTGGAGAGAATGACAGGTCAGGGTAGGACTCCGAGGCAAACCTGGGCCCTAATCCCCCTGATTCTTCACTGTCCTGCCCTGAGCCCATAAACCCTGGAGCTACGGGGCTGCTATGTACGGTTGAGCAGGCTGCAGACTACAGACCCACAGCACTATTTTATGGACTTTTAGAAGGAAGTTACCTCTTTTTCAATCTATTCCTTCTTTAAACGCTACCTCCTCCAATCTGTCCAGTGCTCCAACTTTCCTCTCTCCAGACTTGGCAACCAAATAGATTTTACATATACTTGTGGATGATTCCCTTGCTGTGTGCTATCCACACTTCAGGAACCAAATGAACTTGGCAAAGGCTGCTCGGATAAGGAGCAGATGTGAATATCAAAAACCCGGATTCATTATGACAGCAACCTCCTCCTCCTCCTTCTTTTTTTTTTTTTTTTTTTTTTTTAAGATGGGGGTCTTGCTACGCTGCTTAGGCTGTCCTTGAACTCCTGGGCTCAAGTGATCCTGCCATCTCTGCATCTGGAGTGACTGGGACTACACATGAGCCACTGCACCCAGCTCAATCATGACAACTTGCTGATGGGTGAAAATACAAAGGGGACCCCCCCCCTTACTTTTTCAAGATATTATGAAGGAAGTAGGGGTCCCTCTGTCCCAGTTTTTCTCCAGTCCTTTCCGACTCTCCCAATCCTGACAGCTGAAATAGAATTCCAATTTCTATCTTCCAGGGACCAGCCTAGATCTCAGAGAGGAAAGCCTGACTGTGGCAGAGGCCATTACCTCTCTCCCTGAATCCATTATCCCTGTTTTACTTCCTATGAATCCTGCTCATGGCCTCCCAGAGACTACACTTCCCAGCAACCCTTGCAACATGGGTGGTAGTCATGTGACTAGGCTCTGGCCAATAGGAAACAAGCAGAAACGCCTTGTACCATTTCTGGGTCTTGCCTTTTTCTTTTCTTTTTCTTGGTACCAGGCATTGAACCCAGGGGTACTTAACCACTGAGCCACATCCCCAGACATTTTAAAAAATATATTTTATTTAGAGAGGGTTTCGCTGAGTTGCTTGGAGCCTCACTAAGTTGCTGAGGTTGGCTTTGAACCCACAATCCTCCTGCCTCTGCCTCCCCAGCAGCTGGGATTACATGTGTGCTCCACTGTGTCGGGTGGGGGGCCATGCCTTTCAAGAGTGCTGCATACCCTCTAGTTTTTTTCTCACTTCTTGCAGATTGGGAAACAGTGGCAGTTGGTAGAGCTGCTTCTGACCAGATTGGAGTCTCAGCATGAAGAACCGCAGAATCAGCCTGGGCTCCCTGAGAAACCCTGCTGTCTCCCCACCACCCCACCCCCCTGGCTGAGGTGCCAGAGATGGAACCCAGGGCCTCATATATGTCAGGCAAATGCTCTACCACTGAGCTACATCCCCAGCCTTCAAAATTCCATCTTTCTTAAGCCACCATCCCTTGGAAAGGTCTCTTTGTTCCAGCAGCTTGGGCTATAATCTAACTGACCAGGAAGACTGTGTTACTATAGCTGCCGATGCAGATTCTGGAGTCAGTCTGCAACCTTTGTTCCTTGACTCATCAGCTACAGTGGGCCTTGGGCAAGTTATTTAACCTTTCTGTGCTTCATTTCCAGTTATAAAATGGAAATACTAGGATCTACTTGCAATATCATTAGAAGCATTAAGTCAGCTAAGGTACTTTGCACATGACTGCTGCCTGATGAATGATCACTATTCTTACTTTTATTTAGTAAACCATCAAAATAGCTCAGCCAGGGCCTAGTGTATCAGCCCTGTGCCAGGTACAGGAACACCTGTTCACCATCGGAAATCTTAAGGGGGGCTGGATGTAGCTGGTGTTGGCCCCATTTTACAGAGTAGAAAAGAGGCTCAGAGATTTCCCCAACAGTAATTGTAGTAGCAAAGTGCGGAGGCAAGCCTCAAACAGAACTGAGTAGTCCCAGAATCACGACTGTCGCCCACGGCATTACCCCACCCCCAGCCACCGTAACACCCGCCTGCATTTATCAGGCACGTCCCAGATCCGTGTTGGCTAGTCACATGGCCAGTGGCCCTTGCAGGTGGGAGTGTGGCTATCCTGGAGGTGCCGCACTCCTGGATGGGCACCAATTCACTCCCTGTCCATGCGCCAGCCCCCTGGAATTGGTCCCCTCACTTGCCAGCTAGAGAGACCTCACAGCCTTGGGCCACCCAGGCGGGCCACCCAGCCAGATGATGTGGAAGCTGTGAAGATCTGGGGCTTCTCTCAAGTTCTAAAAATGGATCATTCAAAAAATCCGGTTGGGTTCCCGCCGCTTGTAGGCGAGAGCGAGGCAGCCTGCTGTTCTAAGGCTGGTGACTGGTTAACTAGGTGAGGACACGGACAGGGTACCTGGGTACGTCCTACCAAGGGCAGGGTGGACCCGCCCACTGTCCAGGCGGGATCATCTCAGATCCAGGGGCCTGCTCCCTGCTGGCCCCTCCTGCCCCGGGCCCCCATACCTGTTTTCTTTGCCATTTGGCAACAGGGACGGGCGCTCGGCCCCTGGGCGCTCTGTGCAAACGTAGGTGTTCCTGCGGGTCATCATGCTGGGAGGGAGGTTGTTCTGTGGGGGACACATGGGATGAGGAGCGGTGAAGGGCTGCCTGCCACGAGCCTCTTGCCCTCTCCCAGGAGGACTGAGTCAGGGCCTGGGTGGGAACCCAGGGGGGCAGGCAGGCGAGGGCTCAGAGGCCCCCAAACGCAGAGAGGTCCACAGGCTGTTCCCACTGGTGCCATTCACCAACTCTCTGGAGAGAGAGCCATACAGGCCATACAGGTACAGGGACATGCCACACTCGGTCCCCGGTGAGCCCATGTCCTGGCTGGGTCGCCTGCTCAGAACATCCCCCTGCTGGTCACCCCACTCAGCCTCTGATCTGGTCAGTTCACAATATGCCCACCCCAGGCCAGGCAGCCTCTGGGGCTCCTGGGTGCCCACTGCAGACAAATATGTCCCCAACCCCAAGAGACGGTGAGCTCCATGAAGACACGGAGTGTAAGGATCCCACTGTCCCCTTGGACGTCAAGGTCTGAGATCAGGTCTCTGCCTCAGCAGGGCCCGCCCGGTGCCCTTCACCAGCTCTCTCTGGTGACAACAGGCTCTTCCCAAATACTACACAGTGCTCTGGGAACTGCAGGACGCCTGGGTCAGAGAAACGCACCGCGGGTGGCATCTGCAGGATGGACCCCAGGTGGCCCGCCCTCGCCCACTCACGGGGGTGCTCGTGCTGTCCTTCCGCCGCTCGGGGATCTCCGCCTTGTTGGGGTTGTGGGCGCTGCTGACCATGGGGCTGGACGGGGGCAGCCCCCGACTCCCGCTCCCCGCCGCGCTGCAGCTCGCCTTCCGGCCGGGCAGCCGCTCCTCCTTGAGCTCCGCCTCCCCCGTGCTGGTTGGGCTGCGCTTGGGGTGCAGGGGTGCCGGGGAGGGGCCACCTGGGGGAGGGAAGGAGCAGGTCCCGCTGATAATATTGTCAAAGCCACCAATGCGTCCGCAGGTCCAGACAGGCTTTGCCGGGTCCCCCGCCCCCGTAAGTATCAGGCAAAGGCCTGACCACTGAGTGCCCCGGCCACGCCCCTCGCCTTTTTCTTTTTTCTTTCTTTTTTTTAATGTCAAAAGATTGGGAGCAGCCTAAATGCCCCGCATCCAGGGGGTGGCCAAATAAGTCAAGGTATTCCCACAAGGAGCCGCACGTGTATGGGTGTATGGAATCCCTTAAAAGAAATGTCCACAACAGGCAAATCCAGAGACTAAGCAGACTAGTGGCTGCAGGGCGGGGTGGGGGTGGGGGGGTGGGGGTGTGATGAAAGTGGCCCCACAGCGAGCACGGTGATGGACTCTGGAAGTATAGGAATGCTGGGGGCTGAACATTTTAAATGGGTGAATTGTACAGGATGTAAATTATCTCAATAAAACTACTTAAAAATCAGTGGAGAATTTAAATTTGATGAAGATGTAGGCAACAGACCTCCTGGAAGTTTTCGTGCCTAATCTTTTCCCCCTCATTAAACCTGGGCTGCATTACCACTGAGCTACATCCCCAGTTCTTTATTTGTTTATTTGTGATAGGGGCTCAACAAGTTGCTGAGGCTGTCTTTGAACTTGTGATTCTCCTGCCTCAGTCTTCCAAGTAGCTGGGATTACAGCATGTGCCACCATGCCTGGTTTCCATGCCTAATTTTTGACAGTGGTGGGGGTCTATTTATTTTCTGCAGCAGATGAGGTATTTGTTGGCTGCAGAATGTAGGGCACAATCTGGTATCTTCCCAACCTCATTCCACTTGGAATGGCCTCCTCCCATTTTAGTGTGGAGAAGTGAGAAGGCAGTCTCTAAGCAGTCACTTTGTACAATGAGTTCTGTGCCCCAGTTGCAGTGAATTAATTCCCCAAAGACTCTGATATCAGTGCTTCAACCCAGATGAGTAGCTGAAGAGATTCAAGGACCTTTTGGGCTGGTCTCTAAAAGTGAAATGTTAATTAACCTCCTAGCTGGGCATAGTGGCACATGCCTGTAATCCCAGCTACTCAGGAGGCTGACACAGAAGGATTGCAAGTTCAAGGCCAGCCTCAGCAAGTTATCAAGGCCCCAAGCAACTTGGGGAGACGCTGTCTCAAAATAAAAGCTAAAATGGGCTGGGGATGTGGCTCAATACTAGAGCACCTCTGGGTTCAATTCTCAGTTAAAGGGAAAAAAAAAAAAAAGGCCGTGGATGTAGCTCGGAGGCCAGGCGCTTGCCTAGCACCTGGATTCAAAAGCAAAAGAAAAAGCAGAAATCCGTGGGCTCACGGATCAGGAAAAAAGGTAAGGTGGGGTAAGGACAAACGAAAACCCAGAAAATGGGAGAGGAAGCAAGGCGCGGCTGTCTGCTCAGCTCTGGGCTCTTCCAGATGGACCCCTCCTGCCTCTTCAGACGCAGCCCCTGGTGGCCCATTCCAGGGCCCTGAGCTGGGGGCGGAGCCTGCCTGAAGGGGCGGGGCGAACTCACAGAAGTCGCTGTGCCGGCGCTGGCGGTGGTAGGTGGAGGAGGAGCTCCGCTGCCCTTTGCTGTGGCTGGTGCCTTTGCTGGAGCTTGTCCCGTTGGTGGTGTCGCTGGGCGCCCGTACCCGTGCCAGGGCCAGCCCTGGGGCGCCGCGGTCCCCACCCTCCTGCAAAAAGTTGGCAGACAAGACATCTTGGCCGCCCGTCCCCTGTGCCCCCCAAATCCCTCCACCCGGGGCAGGGCACACTCCCGAAGGCCCCTGGCGTCCTCTGACCTCAGTCTTCCTGCCCAGCAGGAGGTAGGTGGCAGTCACTTCGTTGTACTTCTGGCTGGTCAAGGCCTCTCTGATCTCTTCCCGGGTGTAGCCCATACCCACCATCACCTCTGCGGAGGGCATGAGAGCGGGGTCAGCCTCCCGGACCCCTCCACCTGCTCCGCTCGGCCGCCCTTTGGTCTGTCAGGAGCCATCTCCCTTCTACCATGGCAGGCTCCCGACCCCTGACTGCTCCATACCTGGGGCGCAGGCACATAGACACATATCACGCCAGCCAAAGTGTTCTGTCCCCAAGGCCATCTGCCATTGCCTTCCCTTCTGAGAGGGCATCAGGCTTCCAGCATATGCTCTTGGCAGCCCCCCTCCCATAGTGAGCCACGAAGAGGAAGCTCCCAGGAAGAAGACTCCCAACAACTGTCTTGGAGCACCTGGGTCCAGCTGTGCCTGAAAGCTGTCTAGCCTGGCCTTCGTAGTCATGTGAATGAGTGAACTGTCAGTATTCGGTTGAACATGAAATTGCTGATACTGGCAAACTTTGCCCTATAAATGGCAGCCTCCAAGCAAGTCCTGAGGAATGCAGCAGGCTGTCATGATCATCTCAGCCTCCTCAGCTGTAGAGAGAGGGCTACGGGGTGGTTTCTAACGGGTTCTTCCAGGGGGAAAAAAGTCAAGGTCAAAGCCACCAGGACCTACTACACACAGCTGGTGCAGATCCACTGTTTAAAATGCAGAGTGACTCCATGGGGCAGCCCTGGGATTCCTCCCCTAGAGGCGTGGAGGGGGACGCTTGCTGGCGCGCTGGGCCACGAGGCACCCCTCTGCAGGCACTAGCCAGAGGGACGAGGTGGCCCTCACCTATTCGCTTGGTGTCCCCGAAGTCCTCCTCAGGCTCCGTGTATGGCTTCAGCTCCTCACCCTCATAGCCGATGTTGATCCACTTGTCTTTCATGATTTGCTGCAAGGACGAGAGGTGTCAGAGGGAGCCAGGAATCCGCAGCTCGCCCCTCAGCTGGCCCAGGTAGGGCTGCGTACCCTGCCCAAGGCCGACACCCAGCACCCAGGGATCCTGAGGGCCGGCCCCTCCCCCGCCTCTGCAGCAGCTGGGTCCCCGCACCCTGTAATCATCCAGCAGCTCATTAGCTAATTACTGGCGTGGCAGGGAGTGGGCGAGGCTGCATGGGGATGGGCTGTGCCTGGGCTCCCCGTCCACCTCAGACGGGACACTCAGGCAGAGTGTGGGGAGCTGGCCGGAGGCGCAAGGCCAGGCTCACCTCGAGAGTGCAGCGTTTGGCGGGGTTCAGCACCAAGAATCTCCGCAGGATGCTCTCACAGTCGGTGGACATGTAGAAAGGGACCCGGTACTTCCCTCTGAGGACGCGCTCCCGCAGCTCCTGTGGGGACCGGGTTACTGGGGGGGGTGGCCGTGTCCCCAGCCCAATTCTCGCCCACACACCCACCTCCCTCCCAACCCTCGGACAGAAGTGACGGCAGCCCCGAGTCCCAGCCCTCTCCCTGACTCAGTTTCTCATCTGTAAAATGGGAACACTGCAGAGACGCAGCAATTTAAAAAAATGATATTTTAAGGCTACAGAACTCTTCATTCAGGGAGAAACTCTGTTCTTGTTTGAACAGGGGTCACGGTGAAAGCCTCAGCAGTAGCTGCCCCAGGGCAATGCTACTAAATACCAGGCACAGAGTGGGGCCCAGCATGCCCTCCCCACCTGCCCCCACAGGGCTGGGAGTCTGAGGACCTTCCGGAAGCACACGCGCGGCCCTGCTTTTTGTCTGTCTGCCTAAGGTCTTTCCGAGGGTCCCCAGCAAGGCTCCAAGGTCAGGAAGCCCAGGCACCCCCTCCCAGGGAGACAGAGCAGGTGGACAAACCAGAGGCCATGGGGTCAAGCCCGGGGACTGGGCAGGGGAGCCACCTTCCAGGCCGTTCTAACGGGGCTGAAAGAGGGGGCGCCTGGGAAGCACCGCAGGGCTGCAGGCCACGTGGGCTCCAAGGGTTGGGATCACTTAATATAAAGCCACCTCGGAGACCACTGGCTACCAGCACCACGCACTCAAGGCACAAGACACCATCACCAGGACGTCACTGGCCTCCAATGTGCGATCCTCCTGCCTGAATCGTGGGGGCAGCACCCATTTTCCAGATGAGGACACCGAGGCCAGAGTGGTGGGCCCTTGTCGGAGGCTGAACAGCAGAAAGCAGCAGGGCCTGATTCTGAGCCAGGAGGCGGGGCTCTGAGCCCTAAACCACACGCCTGTCATGTGACCAGAGCAGCAGCCGCCAGGCCTGCCGCCTCGGCCAGATGCCAAGTCCTGGTGAGGGCTCCCAGGCCCAGGCTGGCTGCGAGCAGTCACTCTTCCGTCCCCATCTTACAGGTGGGAAACAGGTTCAGAGACTCGTCCCAAGTCACTCAAAAAGAAAATGACAGAGCTGGCTAGCTGGTGGGGAGACCCGGACAGCGAGAGATGACAAGGGCCTGGGGCAGATGAGAGGCTAGCCTGGCCCTTCCAAAAGGCCTCTTAGCTTTCTGCTCGCTACTCAGAAAAATCACCCCGCGGCAGGACTGGGTCCAGGCGCTTCCAGGTGAGTCTTTTCTTGGTACCAGGGGTTTGATATCAGGACGCTTGGCCACTGAGCCACATCCCAGCCCTTTTTGTTTTATTTACAGACAGGGTCTCGCTGAGTTGCTTAGGGCCTCACTAATCTTCTGAGACTGGCTTTAAACTTTTGTCCTCCTGCCTCAGCCCCTGGAGTTGCTGGGAGTACAGGTGTGTGCCTCCCTGCCCGGCTCCCCAGCCCTTTTTATATTTGATTTTGACACAGGGCCTCGCTAAGTTGTTGAGGCCAGCTTCAAATGTGTGATCCGCCTGCCTCAGCCTCCTGAGTCGCTGGGACGCAGGCACGGGCCGCCATATGAGCTCCAGGTGCATATCTTAATGGTCCTCACTCAACAGAGCGGGAGAGTGAGCTTCCAGGGCTCAGCGCCTGCGCAAGGCCCCATGAGGAGGGCCCTCCCTGCTCATCACGCAGGCGCCTCTGCCTGTCCTCAACAAGGACTTGCCTGACTGCCCATTTCAAACGCCCCACGGGCCACCCTGAGCGACACAGAGTCCCCAGCTGCAGAATGCCTCCCCAAAAGGTGTGGCCTTGGTCCAGCCAGAGGCAGCACCAGGCAATCCAACTGCAAACAAGTGGCCAAGCCGTGTGCCACGCCATGCCATGCCAGGGGGACAGAGAGGCTGGCAGCTGCTCAGATGGGGGGACACAGGGACTGGGCACATCTGGAGAGCCTGAGCGAGGCCCCGGCAAGGAGGAAAAATAGCTGTGAGGAGGCTCCTGGGTCAGTGGGGGGAATCTGAGTGTGGACCACAGGGTGGAGGCCAGGACTGAGCCGCGGATGTATTTCCTGTAGGTGACCATTGTCTGGAGAATGCGCCTGGTCTCAGAAGATAACCCACTGTGGCCTTTGGGAACAAAGGGACATAGTGTCTGCAAGGAACTGTCCCACAGTCCATCAACAAGGACCAGAGCTACCTCGTCATGTGCCTGTACAGACAGATACGGCCCGGGTGGCCAGGGGCCAGCTCCGCGGCTCTCCCAGGGGACCACATGTTCTGTGTTCTATTCTTGCAACATATCTGGAGACTGGCAACATCTCAAAGCAGAAAGTTCAAAGGAAAAAAAAAACACGCAGAGGAAGACAGGGCCCACACGGGCTGCCCACTTCCAGTGTCTGTCCCCAGCACTGGCCAACACCTGCCACCACATCTCCTCAGCTCTTCATTCTGCTTCCTGCCTGGCTCCGCGGCTGGGACATCAGTTCCAGAAAATTTCTTGTTCTGAGCGTTCATCTCGAGGACTTCCAGTAACTTGCTAAGTTTCGCAACCATAGCCACAATCACTGTGAGCACGTTTTCCATCGTTCAGAAGCCCTGACCCCCGGCTGTCACCTCCCCTGGCCCACCTGGCCCCTGCGCCGGGTGGACATTTCATAGAAATGAAGCCACATGCTCTGGCCTCGCGACGCTGGCTCTGTCTCTCGGCACAGCGCTTCCAAGATCCCCCCATGGAACGGCAAACACCGGGCAGGGGCTGCTGCCACTTGTCACGTATTTGCAAAGCCTCAAAGTGACCCTCGTGTCAGAGGTGGATGGCAAGTATCTCCTGAGTGAATGAGTGGGCTGAGCCAGGGATTCAAACCTGTCATGAGCCCCAACACGGCACCGGCCTCGTGGACTGGCCGCCTGACGGTGGGGACGGGGTCCCCTGCTCCATCTGGTCATATGACCTCAGGCAGCCCCACCCTCTGGTCCCTGCAGAGGAGCAGTGCAGGGGACAGGGTGGGGCCTGATGGTGGGGTGAGATCCCGCACCCAGCTGGGCCCAGCACCTTGAGGTTGTGCCCGTCAAAGGGCAGGGAGCCGCTGACGAGCGTGTACAGGATGACGCCAAGGCTCCAGATGTCCACCTCCGGCCCGTCGTACTTCTTGCCCTGGAACAGCTCCGGGGCGGCGTACGGGGGGCTCCCGCAGAACGTGTCCAGCTTCGAGCCCAGTGTGAACTCGTTGCTGAAGCCAAAGTCAGCGATCTTGATGTTGGCCTCGGCGTCCAGCAAGAGGTTCTCGGCCTGGAGCAGAGGAGGAAGGACAGGGCTGGCTCAGCCGGGGGCAGGGGCGCGGCGGGAGGCCAACAGAGTGTGGTCCTGAGAGCTGCTCGAGCACTGCTCCCTATTCTGTGTGACCTTGGGGAGTGACTTCACCTCTCTGGGCCTGTTTCCTCCTCGGTGGAGTCGGGGGATCAGTCCCCACCTCACAATGCAGTCTGAGGACAAGATGAGCAAGTCCACATAAAAGGCCCAGAACAAGACTGGCACCGATGAGAGCAGAGCGGGTGCCACCACCCCATGTGGTCTGCAGAGCCGGGGTCTCTGGGAAACCCCCGGCCCCTCCCGGAGACTCAGCTTATCCAGCAGAAAATATATAAGAATCAGAGACGGCACAAAATCTATAAAATATGACTGATTTTATCTATCAGATGTGTGCCTACTATGTGCCAGGCCCAGTACATAGTAGGTGGGGTAAGGGTGCAGAGAGCCCAGCTCCACTCTGACCTGCTGTGTGACTCTGCGTGGGTGACCCAATCCCATGCCTCAGTTTCCCTGTGTGTAAATGGAGGGTGACGGTGGAGTGGGGTCAACATGAGATGCTTATATTGACCTGCAGCGCAACTGCTTTCCGCTGGTAGAAGGTTTTATCCTTTTCTTTCTTTCTTGTTTTCTTTTGGAGTGGGGATAAAACCCAGGGATGCTCTACCACTGAGCCCCATTGAAGGTTTTATTTTGAGACAGGGTCTGGCTAAGTTGCTGAGGCTGGCCTTGAACTTGCAATCCTCCTGCCTCAGCCCTGTGAGCCACCGAGATGACAGGCATGGGCCACTGTGCCCCGCAGGCTTTGTCTATTTCTTGAGGAAGGTGGCCTTGTGACTGCCGTTTCCCAGATAAGGACACTGAGGCTCGGGGAGGCCACCTCGTGCCCACAGCAAGCCAGCTGGAGCCCCATGGGGCTGGTGGCCACCAGGCCTGAGCAAGAGGAGGAGCACCAGATGCTGCTTCTGCCGCCTTTCCACATCACCCACACCTGGCTGTCCCCTGTGAGGTCCTCAGCAGCTCAGGCCACCAGCATGTGCCTCCTAGCTTCGGTACCACCCTCCCACACCTCCTGCCCCAGCAGGGCTTAGGGCACAAAGGCACCTCACACAGTTCGTCCCAAACCAGAACCCAGCAGTAGCTCAGTCTGGCTCTGGGGTGGCACTTCCCACTGGCGTTTGAAAGCCCACAATCCACCTCACCCTCACATCTGGTCCCCTGGTGCACTCACAGGACCTTCCAGCAGGGGGCGTGCGGCCTCCAGGTTAGCACCCAGCAGCCCCAGAGCCCTCAGGGCAGAGCCCAGCCCAGGCCTCCTTGCACACAGAGAGCGCCAGAACCTTCTACAGCAATGGGACAGTGGTATTTTATGTGTTTGGCTCTAACAATAATTTTAAAAACAAAGTTTGCCCTTTGTATATCCTTTTTTCATCTCATTTTTCCTGCAATTATTTTTTATCAGATTTTATAAGAGCACCTGTCCACAAGAGTTTTTTTAAAATGGGGGTCTCTGTGTTTCTCCGGCAGGCCTCAAACTCCTGGGCTCAAGGGATCCTCTTGCCTGGGTCTCCAGGACAAAGATTAAAAAAAAAAAAAAAAAAACAAAACCGGTCCTTCAACCCTGAGCTGACAGAGAGGCTCCCCAGGCCCTGGCCTGTGGCCTGGCACACACTCAGGCGCCCACTGCAGCCCGGGACCTGCCAGTCTCAGCTGAGAAGCCCAGTCCCTATGGTCCCTCTGAGTGGGGTGTGGATCACCCGGGGACAGAGGCACATAAGGGTCTGCAGGCTCAGCTCAGCAGGTAGCTGGGGTCCGGCCGGGTGTGTCCCTGTCCTGCCCAACGCTGGCCCCATGGCTGCTCTCTCCAAGGCCCTTCTCAAGTTCCAAGATCCCTGATTCTAAGACCCCGCAGGGTGTGACTCTGGGGACCCAAAACCTCTTCTCAAGGATTCCTAAATGGTCTCGAGTCTGAGGCCCAAGTCCTGAGGCTCTAAGAGGGACAGACTACTGTGTCCTGCTGTCCCCGTACAGTAGGATACTCTATTTCTCCCTGGATGACTCCCACCCCCTCCACCAGCCTTGCTTGACCTCAAAAGCTTGTGCAGAGAGCCCAGCTCCACTAGGGAGGCGCCAGGGGACATGCTAGGGGGGGAGAGTGGCCAGGCTAGGGTCCCTGCGGTCACAGTGGGCTGGGGGCTTACCTTCAGGTCCCTGTGTACAATGTTTTTCTGGTGACAGTAGTGCACGGCCGATACAATCTGCAGGGAGAAGGCTTGTTACTTTTGGCCCTAAGTGGTCAGCCTCCCTCAGTGGCCTGTGAAGCCCATCACCACCAAGCCCCTGGTTCTAGCCTCCCCTGGGTGCAGGCCAAGCCCCTGGAGCCTTATGCCTACTTCTGTCACAGTGGGAGATGTTGTGGGACCTATTAAGACATTTGCACTAGGACGCATGACATTTTCACACTCAGACATCTAGACACTGTCACACACAGGGACTCAGATTGAAGACATCAAGGAGGAGCCCTCTCCCGACTTACTTCTGGGAGCTCCCCACTCACCAGGGCTTAGGCCCCTTACACCCAGGACAGCCGCCAGGGCAGCTGGACAGTCCCTAGCTGATGCTGCCTGCACGCTCACTGGCACACTCAGCCACGCACGTCCTGCACACCCACACCAGAGCTCAGCACACCTGCAGCCCTCTCCGCAAACCAACCTCACACCTGGCCCCCCAACCCACGGCCTACTCCACTGCGCATGCGCACGCCCACAGCTGGGCATGCCCAGCCGGCCCACGGTCCACGGCCCACACCTGTGCACCTGGGCCTGCGCCCGGGGCCAGCACTCCCTCCTGCCCACCCAGCCCAGCACCTGTGACCGGTATCCACACACCCTACACCTGGCATCGGTATATCTGGGGACCCGGCTCTGCACCCTCACTTGAGCCGCATCCCCAAGTCACTGGGCAACCCTGACCACAGCTGGTCCCAGGTCCTAGCCTGACCTCTGACCTGTCGGAACTTGGCTCGAGCTTCCTTCTCCTTCATGCGGCCGTGCGACACGAGGTAGTCAAACACTTCTCCTGCGGGGCAGAGGCCAAGGGGGTCAGGGCGGGCGGGAGCGCGCGGGGCGGGGCAGGGGCCCGGGGCGGGGCAGGGGC